GAGGAGAGATAAACTACTTAAAATGACTTCTCTTGTACTCTAAGGGCTGCCACTTCAAACAAAGCCACTGTACCAACTGTAGGTATCACCTAAATGCAGAGCAAGCATGACAGTCACTGGGAGTGGGAGACACCCCAGCCTTTCCCACTAAACCAGTACTAGAGGTATCCAACCACTGGAGGTCTGGGCATCTGGTACAACTGTCTGAACACTGACTCTCTGAGCAATTTGCCACTTTTTGATTCCTTGAGAAGCAGTACTTCTACTGTTTCCATGTTATGTACCTCCCTTAGTCTTTCTTAGTGATTGGGAAGCCACAAAATTAAAGCCAGCTCAGTTATCAGACCTAGGGAAATTTCACAATACATCCATGACCCTTCAAACTGCTGATTACTCCTTTCTCACATGCTTTAAGTGTCAGACTCTCCCATTTCTGTCCTGCAATGGAGATGTGCAGGGTGTATAATACGAGCTGATGCTTTTTGCTAAAACTAGACTATATTCTGTGTAGCATTATTGATGCTCCACGGCCTTTTGGGTCCAAGTGCCAAACTGTATTTTTGGCTTAATTTCAAGGACAAAACACAAACATAAGTTTGGTGTTGAACACCAAAGTGATCCATCCCTTATCCCCACCTTCTCCTGTCTCATCTTTTGTATGGACTAGTTGACCCACAGATCTGGAAGGCAAATTAACATTTGCTATTGTGCTAGGAAAAAGGCAAATTCCTGCACTGTACTTGTCTACAGTGCAAAGAAGGTAAGCCAATATTAATTCCTCCGGTGTTGTGGGTAGTCATTTTCTCACACACTGTTCCCTCTCCAAATGAGAGCTTTTTCTCTGAAGCATCTAGTTGCCTTCTGCTCACCAACAAGGTCACAATGAGCAACTATGAAAACTAACTCACAGATAGCATCTGGCCTTCATTTCGCACAGCTTGTAGGTATTCTCTCCTTTTTTACTGTAGTCGTAGTTTAAGGTTAGAACATTCTCCTGAACTGCATGTTGTTACTGACATTTCCTACAAAATCCTCATGCTTCACAGATGCTGTTCTAAGCAGTACCAGCTTCCATAGAGCAAGAAAGAGACCAACAGTTTTCTTCTCCAAAAACCAGATGCAATCAGACAATGCTCTTCATGCAGCTTATACTGAAAATATACGGTAGGGTTTGTTGCTCTGGTTATGTAGTCAGAAACCCCTTTACCCACACCTTCTATGGGTTTGAACAGTAGTCAAAGTTAAGCAGGGAGGATTGCTTTCTTTCAGTTCTTGTACATTTACACACAGATGTTTGCTTACATTCCTCAGGCACATTTACTGGGAAAAAAGGCAATGTCTAAGGAAGCTCCTAATGTCCTCGCTCACACCAAGTAGTTCCTTCCTTCACAAGTAAACTCCACTGAAGTTTTCTTGGATTACTCACAAAGGGTGATACACCTCAATGTGGGCAAAGCTGCTCGCATGTAGTCTTTCATCTCAGTTCTACTTCCCAGAAATTGCCAGTGTTCTTGGAGCAACATGACTCTTCTGAACAGAGATCACACAGAACAACAAGGGCCTGATTCTTATTTTAGACAATCATTTCAGGCTGTGATCCTGTCAAATCTCCTATATACAAGGCCCCTTCCATCTGCCCCAAGCCCTGAAGAGCCCAGTTTTGCAGTTCTTAGTCATGCAAAATTCCCACAGAAGAGGTCTTGCCCTAGCTAAGTTGTACTATTCGATATTTCAATAACCAACCAATAGTAGTACTGGTCAGAAAATTGGTTTTGAAAACATTAACTTCTCATTTTAGACTGACAGATAATTTTTTTCATGGTGAAATGAGCAAATGAACAGCTAAAGATCAGGTGCTTGTTGTTAAAATCAATATGGCTTTATAGTAACATTTCGTTCTTCTACAACAGTAAAGAATGAGTGTTTCAACCAGCTCATCACATGTGATCAAAGACACAACTGGACACATTTGACACATAAAATGTCTTCTCCCTTTTTTTTAAGCAAAAGCTGCATTCACTATTTTTTCCCTGAATATGCTATTAGCCGACTTAAAGTGGAAGCACAACCACAGTGTGAGTAGCAGAGCTGATGATAACTTTTTATGAAAAGTTAACACTACACAATATGTTACAAACAAATTCCAGTCTTCGGCTATTACAAGTAATAAGAGAACACCGTAATTAAAAAAATAAATCAGCCCCATTTTACTTCCTTGAAGCATATTCAGTAGTTACATTAAAAACAATTTCTATAGAAATCCTCTGTATTCACTAATTTAGAGGGAAATGCACTTAAAAGGGGTGTATACTGCACATCTTTATTGATGACTATTACTTTTTATCTAGCTCAGAAGAAATAAGATCCTCTTGAGGCATTGAATCAGATGAGTAACTGTGATGAGAAATAAATTAAAACCACAGAAAATGCCCTGTTTTTAAGTATGCTGCTGCACATAGATGTTCAGTATCTGCATAAATCCCTTTTAGACATTTGGAAATGCAAAACAAAAATAGAAACATTATTTCCTTTATGTTTATAATGACCGCAAGATAATTTTATAGTGAAGAAATTACTTTTAAGGCACATCAGTCATTCCATATATACTTCACGTCCACTAAAATCTGACTGTCAATTAAATTTCATTTCCATAAACTCCTTAAATTCTACAAGGAAAAACAAAGGGGAAGGATTGTGTTTACAGGCAACAAATCTCATTTCAAAAGCGGTGCGACAGTGAAACTGCTCTGTGTCTGCAGACTGGGAAACCACTCTAAACGAGCATTAAGTGACAAAAGCAGACCTTCCTCTTAGTAGGAATAGGTATCTCTAATGAAGCTGTCCAGTAGCTCAGAGGTAGTAGCTATGTACCGTATGTTGCTTTGGTTGCTCTGGCAATTCTATAGTTTCTTCAGATTAAACAAACCTGAACTTTTTAGCTACATCGTTACCTACAAATAATACGAGCTTGTTTCAGCTCTTCTTGATGTAACTTTAAAAAGAATTCTCCATTTTGCAAAAGAGAAAATGGCTTGTAATTTCCTCCTCTCGGTTGCTATTTTTTTTGGTCTCTTTATTTATCTGCCTCAGGTACATACTTGTACCAAACCATGTGTAATTTACAAAGGGATGCTCCTGAAAATAAGTCTTAACATCCTTTCTTTAAGCGCAGATGTTTAAACAAAATTCCAATCTTTCCACAACTCCAAGCCTTATTTCAAGAAAGGATCCAATAAGTTACAGACTTAGACATTTGAAAATGTCTCAATTGTTTCTTTAGTGAAATCAAGCAAACTTCTAATGCCTTTGGTGCAATCATCTAATCCATACTTTAGCAGAACTCTGCCTTGAGTCAGCCCTGAAGTTAAATTCTCTGTTGAATTAACACTGGAATCTTAGCCACTGACAACCTCCTCTTCGAGGGTTAAGTGAACCAAATGCTTATTATGAAAAACTGATGAAGCAGAGTGACTGCTCTATTTCTCCTTGTGCCATAGAGATTTTTAAAGAAGAGAGGCTACAGACACCTTTCAGACAGAACAGAGGGAGCAAAGAAGGGGATATCTAATGATTCTCAGGTATAGACTCAATTTAGCTGTTTCAAGAAGCCTGCCGTATGAGATTAGATTTTGTTCTGTTTTTCAAAGAGCTGTTTACTATGGAAAGGTTTGTTTGAGGCAGATGCCAAATCCTGCTGCCTATGGAATGAGTGATATACATAAAATGGAGCAGTATTTACCCCACAAACAGAATACACACCTTTCAGCAGCACAGCTGGAGAAGGGATGTAAATGCTCAGCTGAGGCTTACATTCGGTATGCATTCAGTGGTGAATGTAAAGACACCAGTCCCTGTCTCTCATTCTCTTCATTACGGTTTATGACATATTATAAACCCATGGGAAATGTTTGCTTTAATAACTAGTCAAACTCTTCTCCCCTATTCCCTCCCCTCCCCCCAATCCTCTGAAATCAAAAACTAGAAATGCAAACAGGAAAAGGGAAAGAAAGCAGCATTAATATCAAAGGTTTGGAACAGCTGCACCTTCTTTTTGAGATTTGTTCACATACACCACTGACAATCTGCAATGTATGCTTCTCATTAAAAAAATAAATAGAAAAGATTTAGTTGCTCTAAGACTGTAAATACAAAGGATTTAAAGACCTTAGTGGTGTGGTGATTGCTCTTCCTCTGAAAATCTGCATAGCAGACTGCCTCCAACTGCCTGTCTGAGAACGAGAGCAGCATGCATCCAGCCCCTGAGATAAGCTTTTTGAGGGGGACCTATAAAGAGTGGGGAAAAAGTTCCCCAGGGCACATGCAAGTTGAGCTGGTTGGGAATTCGACTTTTTTCTTTTAACTCAGAAAATATTAGGTGAGCTCACCAAAATGATTCTTCCCCCCCCCCCATCTGCTCCAGGACAGCAAAGTGCTTAGGCCACTGATCTGAGAGGGATGGAGCAGGAATTCACTGCCTGGCAATCCAACGGGGGAAATAAGGTCACGGGGTGTATATGCTCTTTTTCATATTTCATGAAAACACCTGAGACTCCCAGGTTTGTCCCACTGACAAATCAAAAATTATGAGAAGATAGGAAAAATGTTTCCCATCCAGCTCTACATGCAAAGACCCCTCCAAAGAAAAAGAAAACCCCATGCTTTCTGTTTGACTTAAGCTCTGTGTAAAATCATCATTCAGAAGGTTTTAACAGTACAAAGGTTTATTTAGAAAAGAGTTTGGATTGTTCTTTAGGGTTTTTTGGCAAACATTTAAATCCTTTCATAACTCAAAAGACTGTCAGTGCCTGGTACTTTGCACTTTCTTGCCCCACATAAGCAGTAAAAGCCAATTTCTTACTGGGATGAGCCCATTGCAGGCCCCAGCTGCTCTATTTATAAATACTGAAATCTCCACCATCATTGCCACTTAATCCTTTCCTCTTGATGTCTCTGCTTGTTTTCCCACAAAATTCCAGAGCCCATAAAATCGCACTGCCTCCCAAACTCAGTGTCTTACCCTATTTTCCTCTGTGGACTCCCCATGCCCTCTGTTAGGGTTCAAAGACAATCGCTCCCCTCCCCGTTTACCCATCCGCGCTCCAGCACCACTCCTCCAGCACTGTGTCGCCTTCTGTACCACGGTGAATGCCCTCAGCTTCCCCGACACTAGCCCTGTACCCTATACCACCACTCTGTTCCACCAAGGGGGCGAGCCCTCCTCCCTCTCTTTAAGCCCAAACCCCATGTTCTCTTCCCTCGCTTCCTTTTCAGAATAGAGCATTCTCCTTCTTTTTTAACTCTGCTCCTGCTCAAGGCAAATCCATCCCTCCAGCTCAATGCCGGAAGTTCTTCTTCTTCTTCTTAAAGAGAATGTGTTTAAAGGACCTGCGGAAGTCCTGGTTGAAAATGGTGTAGATGACTGGGTTGAGGGAGCTATTGCAATACCCAATCCAGAAGAAGAACTTGAAGAGAGTCTCAGGGACCTCACATGCCTCCCGGCAAATACCATAGAGGCTGTAGCTGAAGAAGAAAGGGAACCAGCAAACTACAAAGACCCCCATGACCACGGCTAGCACAAAAGTGAAACGTTTCTCCCGGGCCTGGGTGACTTTCTTACGGCAGATGCTGCTACGCTTCCGGCGACGGCGATATGAGAAGAACTGCATGGAGCGATTGCTAGAGCGGGACAGACGGCTACTAGAGTGCTTGGAGGAATACGAGTAGGAGAAGGACTGGCTCTTGCTGCTTTTGCGGGGATGCTCCTCCCGGCTCCGCCTCCGTCTACTCTCCGAGGTGCTGCTCTCCTCCAGCTCAATGTCCTCCAGCTCCGAAGCTTTGCGCCAGTGGTGCACTGAGTAATGTCCATTCTCTCCCAGCTGCATCCTCAGGGACGTGCAGCCCCCAGCAGCGCGGCTCAAGCCATTCTCAGTCTGGGAGGACCCCTCTGGCATCGTACGCTTCTCAGAGAGGGTCCTGGTCCTTAGCTTGGCCACGCGGTAGATGCGGATATAGACCAACACCATGATGAGGCAGGGGGCAAAGAAAGAGCCAATGCAAGAAGAAAGGATGTACCATGTCTCATCATTGAGCTTGCATTGGGGAAAGACATCTCCTTCAGGGTCCCGGTACATGGAGATCAATGGTGGGAAGGAGATGACTGCTGAAATGAGCCAGACAGTGAGGATGATGGCCTTGATCCGGCGGGGGGTCCGCTTGAGGTTGTACTCCACCGCCTGTGTGACTGACCAATACCTGTCGAGGCTGATGGCACACAGGTGGACGATGGAGGAGGTGCAGAAGAGCACGTCCAGCGCCAGGTAAATGTTACACCAAGCCTTGCCGAAGTACCAGTAATTCATAAGCTCGTTGGCTAAGGAGAAAGGCATGACCAAGGTAGCCACCAGGATGTCCGCGCTGGCCAGGGACACCAGGAAGAGGTTCTGGGGGGCTCTCAGCGCTCGGCTGGTGAGCACAGCTATCACCACCAGCACGTTGCCCACGATGGTGAAGACGATGAG